GAGATTTAACTTTTGTGTTTTCTTCCACTATTGGTTCCAAAAATGTCTTACCCAGGAGTACAGAAAGTTATGTTGTACTCAGGAGATATTCAATTTTGGTTTCAAGGATGTTTAAATACTGTTTATCAAAATGAGTAATTTCAACAAAGCTTTACCAGTAACTCTGTTCAAGGGAATGTTTTCTGGGGTCAATTTTATTAAACCAACTTAATCTCTCTGTGTGAATTTTTTATACTAAATACACATGCACATACACAGATATACACACATAGACCCACTAACTTTATATAGGAAATTCATATTTCCTTGTTTTCTAAGGTGAACCAAAATTTTATTCCTGAAAGGCCTATACCATTATCAGTCCTGCCTGCATTAGCTTATTTTATTTTTTTAGTAACTTTATTGATGCATAATTTACATACCATAAAATACATCTCTTGTGTGTTTATGGTTCATTTATGTTTCATTATTCCCAGTTACCATAAAGATGACTTTTGTATATGGTTCTATGAATTTTAACACATAAAATGTCCACTGTAATTAATATATAGAACAATTCTATTACACCTCAAATCCCGTAATGTTAACACTCTATAAGTACCTTCTCCCTCTGCCCATTTCTTTGGCACCTATTGGTCTCTTCTTTTCAAAGGAAAAGACAAGAAGCAAGCATACTGTATAGAAGGAAATATACAGTATATAATCTCTTTAGAATAACTTATTTCACTTGGCATTATGTTTTTGCAATACATTTAAGTTATGTTTGTCAATAGTTTTTTCATTTTGTTTTGCTGATTAGTATTCCATTGAATGAATATACTAGAGATTGTTTATCCATTCAGTCATTGAAGATTTTGGGTTGCTTCCAGTTTTCAGGTCTCTGGGAATGATTTCTCTATTATTTATCTGAGTAGGATTTTATTTTGTCATCCTTTTTTGAAATAATGTTGCTAAATATAGAAGTTCTGACTGACAAGCCTTTTAAAAAATTTTTAAACTTTAAGCACCTTGGTGTATCATTCCACTGAATTTTTCCATCCATTTTTTTCTGAGAAGTTAACCATTAATCATCTTGTTATTCCCCTGTGCATTATGTGTCAGATGTTTTACCTTGCTGAATCAAAAATGTTTTTCTTTCAACAGTTTTTCTACAAAAAGGTTAGCTGTAGACGACTTTCTTTTATTAACTTTGAGTTTGTTGAGTTGGGAGGATCTATAGATTAGTGTTATCATCAGACTTGAGAAGTCTATCACTTTTTCCTATTTCCCTATCTTTTCAACTTCTAGGATTCCAGTTATATACTTATTGCTGCATTTGAGGTTCCAAAGGTCTTCAAGGCTCCGTTTTCCTTTTTCTTCATTTTTTTGTTTTTGTTGTTCAGGTTACATAATTTATAATTATTAATAATTAATTTCACTGATATTTTCTTTTGATATTTTAGAACTAATATAGAGTCCCTATAGGGTATTTTTGATTTCAGTTACTAAATTTAAACTTAAGACTCTCCACTTAGATTTTTAACAGTTGTTTTATTTTAATAAGCTCCCCTGTTAGTGGAATCAACAGAATCATACCTTTCTCTAATCATTTAAACCTCATGTTTATTTCTTGTAACATTTTTATAATCGTTGTTTTAATGTGTTTGTCAGTTCCAAAACCCAGAAAGAGCTTCTGTTGCCTACATTGTTTTGTATTGGACACAGTACTACTTTCACAATTCTTTATCTTTTTCCTTTTAAAAATTGGAAAATTGAGGTAAGATATTGCAATAAATCTGAATTCTACCGCATACCCTGAGAGTTCTTGTTAGTGCTGGTGTTTTGGTTTGTGTGTGATTTGCCTGGACCACATCTGTGTAATCTCCTTCCACCTCTGATGTCCAGTCACTAGTGTCTTTCCTCAGGTTTTTAATTCTTGTTTATATTTCAAAGCCTGGCATCAGAGATCACCCCTGTGCAATCATAGCTCACAAATCAGCCAATATTTGATCAGAGTTTGTGCCTGAATACTGTACTCTAAATCAGTAAGACTTCTACCCTCTACAGCCATCAGTGTTTGGTTTGGGGGGTCCACTCAAAGTTTAAGTCAGTGTCAGCTTATACTTTCTTTAAGCATTTTTATGTCTCCTCTGCACTTGTGCCCTTATAATTAGCCAAGGATGTGTGCTGAGACAAGGGCCTTCTCTGGTCTCTACTGAGCAGTTGAAAGGTTTTCCTGTTAGCCAGGATTGTGTGAAGAGTTTGTCAAAGCCATTTATAGATATTTCATCCTAGGTCACTCTCAAACTTGTAACAAGTCTGCTAAAGTTTTGCATGCCCCAATCAGAAATGCTAAGTTAGGTCAATTGTGTCACTGGCGTTCTTTATTGATTGTTACAGACAATGTTAAATGCAGCCAGTGCCAGTAAGCATGCATTTTTTTTTTTTCCATGCTTTACTCTAAATCAGGAAAGCCCCCTTGCACAGCAAGGCTACTGGCTCCTAGACTTTCGCTATGGTAACAGACTTGGCAAACTGACTGGGCCAGGAGGAGTGGAGATAGAACATGCCCAGGCAAGAATGCCGCTTACTTCACCGTCTCACCGGACGTCAAGTATTTTTTCACGACTAAACATTTCTCAATTTGTTCTGTACGTCTGATCAATTTTTCAGTCTTGAAATTGTTATTTTCAGCAATTTTGTCGTTTCATCATTTATTTTGAAGAAAAGATATGTAAGATTTTTCACTGTACCATATTTAATCTTTAAATTTATATTTTTATTCTACTAAAATTATTTTAACCTGGGTCACTTTTCACCTAACTTTTAAAACAAATGTTTAATTTATTAATCTTTCTTCATACATGTGAAGATAATTTTATAAATTTTAGCTCTTTTTATAGTGACCTGCCAATGTTATTGTTGTTATGAGCAGATGGCATTTGTATTTTTAATTGACATGTAATAATTGGACTTATTCCTTGGCTATAGAATAGCATTTCAACATATGCATGCAATGTGTAATGAGAAATTCAGGGTAATTAGTGTATCCATCGACTAAGAACTTACCATTTTTTTTTGGATTAGGCACTTTCAAAATCCTTTTTTCCTATTCTCTCGAAATACACAGTAAATTGTTTTGAACTATATTCATCATATTGTGCTATATAAAACACCAGAAGTTAAAGCTTTCACCTAACTGCATTTTTGTGCCCATTAACTCCATATCTTCTGGTTACTGTTGATTACATGTGGAAATGACATTAATTTGTATTTACGAGATTAAATAAAATACATTATTAAAACAAATTTTACCTGTTCCTTTTAACCTTTTTAAAGTGGCTAGTATAGAAAATATAAAATTTTATGTATGATTTCCAGTTGTAGTTATAGTGCAGATATGTAAAAGTTCTTAAAAACATTCAAACTCTAAAGAGAAGAAAAAATTTCAGTGATTAGCTAAATGGTAAAGAATATTCACTTCCATATTTCATTGACATGGATTTGAATTTCTTTTCTGGGACATAATGTATGTGGTCTAAATGAAGTGATTTAAACAGCAAGACTCAGTTTTCATTATTTATAAAATGGGAGAGTGGTGGCAATAATACCTACGAGAGCTGGGGATATAGCTCAGTGGCATAAGTGCCTGCCTGGCAAGTGCAAGGTCATGAGTTTGATCCCCGGTACCCCCCCCCAAACTAATAATACCTACTAGACAGGGCTTTTCTGAATATTAAATGAAATAGTATTTAAGAGTGCCTTAGTAGGTCATTACTGCATTGATAATGCTCAATAACTCACAGCTGTTTTGATGGTGAAGTCAATTTATTGATTTTGGTAAGGATCTTGACCCTTAGCTTTAAGTATATGAGGGTGTTATGAGGATGCAGGCAAGGAACAGTTCAAATGATTTGTGCCCTGGAAATTGACAGCTCAACTGCATTTTAAGGAAGATTATGAACTAGCCAAGTAGAGGAGCACAAGGCATAGTGTGAGTGGCAGTAGGAAAAATTTGCTGAAATGCATGGATTCATGAGAGAATGTAATGTTTCCTCCTCTCACAGTGAGATACTCTATGCAAGTATGGGTAAAATAATGTGGAAAATTGCAGGTGCCACTAGAACATTCAGTCCCAGACAATTGTTATACTATTAAAACAAGTATGTATGTGTGTGTTTGTGCATGTGCACGTGTATGTGTGTGTAAAACATCAGAAGACTTCCTAAATATCTAAATTTATTGTATAATTTATCAACCTACACTCTACCTAAGAGGAAGACCTTTAAAATCAGGTAGAAAGATCATATTGAGTTTTAATCATCAAGTAAGGAAAACCTTTAACAAGAAGAAGCTGATATCAGAGACATTTTACTAAAAAGATTAGGAGAGTAAAAAAAACTTAAACATGGTTGAGGATGCTATTTTGAAATTGGCTTGTGCACCATTTTCTGCAAACCAAATTGCATCTTTGTGTATCTGTTGCCAAAAAGCAAGCTGAAATGAAAATATAAATGCTAACAATTTAAAATCACCCATTGGAAAAAAAAGCAGACAAAATAATGAAAACATTTTAATGCTTATAGATAAGTACTATTTGGGGGCTGTTTTAATAAGCAAATGTTTATTTTAGTTGCTTAGAATATTCTCTTGGATTCTAGATACATAAATTTCAACCCACGTTCCCTAGTTGCCATAACAACTTGATGCATTTGTTCTCTTGTGTCATTTTTTATCACATCAATTTTTTAAAAAAACTTTGGTTGCTATGATAACACAGTATAGTTGTTAAATTTATTCTATTCACATTTTGTTCTACTGGAAACTGGTAATTTGCTTTTATTTTTCTCCACAGAAGCTTATATTACAGAAGTGTTTTAAGGAAAATAGGGTCTAAATTCTAATTCAAGTTTTTATTAAAATTTTAATTAGGTGCATTAATTTATGCCAAATGATGTAACCTCTGTGACAAGGGAGATGGGTAGTGATTATCTAATTTCATTTGGAAGAAAGGAACCAACCTTTACTGTACCAAGCGAGGGAAATGGGCAGTCTCAGTTGCTGTTGCATCTCCAAGCATGACTCTTCCACCGGTCTCACTTAAAGGAAGCTGCTGGATTGTCAAGAAAATATTCAGATCAAAGGCTGTCATTTTTGGTACTTTTACTAAATACCTTTTTCCTCCACAAAATGGAACTTATTTATTACGACAAATGAAACATCAGCTTAATAGAAATCTGTAATTCGTGACTACTCGTTCAAAAAAAGAAAGAAAAAAAAGTAAAAAACTCTCTTTTCTCAAATATTCTCTTAAGACGAATTAGATGTTGGATTAAACACCACTATATGTACATTTGTTTTTACTTATTCAGCCAACTCATTTCCTCCATTTTGATTGTCCTTAATAATACTTTCATAGCAACTGACTTTATCACAAAATTGATAGTACTCTGATTCATTTTTGCTCTAAGCATTATTATAATATGTCCCAGCTTTGTTGAATATCATGACAGGGTCAAAGGGAAAAAAGGCAGGAACTATGGCCAAAGAGACTTGAATAGATTTTAATAATGATTAACTGTGCAGTATCAGAAGGTTTTTAAAATCTGCTGACCCTTAGCAAGCAAGAGACATGAAAAAAGAAATGAAAATAATCCACAGACTTTTGGGTAAGAATTCAGTGAGATAATATATTCAAAAGGACAAAACAGTACTCAGTACATAAAAGATGTTTGATACATCTTGTCTCTTCTTTTTCCAATTTCCTTCCATTGAGGATCAGAAAGAAAGAGTGACAAACCCAAAACTGGTACAGCCCAGCTAAGGTAATGAGCCTAGACCTAGGGCAGCCTCTTCTTACAATGAGTGTTCTAATATTCAGAATAAATGCGAGCAGTTTCCTAATTTAAAGTTAATTTGGGCTGGAGTTGGCCCTGATATCTGTTTGCCCAATGCATTAAATAGGGTATGACAGCAGGATACTATTACACTCGGTGCAGTCGTATATTTCTGAGAGTGTGCTTATAACATGGAACCAGCCACAGTTAAAATTTCATATAATAAAATAAATCTTGGCAAAGCCTTTGTTATCAGATCTGGAACCAAATTTGGCTTTGCGTGGGCTTCTTGGAAAAAAAGTCACAATTTCTCTGAGCCTCAGTTTCCCATACATACATAACACATTAATCAAACATATTTAGCAACAGTAGGTAACACTTATTTAGTGGTTTGTTAATTATTACTTGAGGTAATAAGTGGAAAATATTTTCAGTAAATATTTCCTACTATGATCGGACTATTGTGGCCGATGATGTTATTGATTAGGTACTTAGAATTTTAAGACCAAAGCTGCAGTACCTGGGAACCAGGACAGACTTCTAACAGGAAAAGGAAGGAATTCGAAAAATATATGAGGGCCCAGAGCTGATTCCAGGTACGCCGGTTCTTTAAGATAATCGAGTAAGGCAAATACTTGCTCTGCTCAGCTATCTGTGAGTATGAGTGTGCTAATATTGCTAAGCTTGGTCAGAACTGGTTCCGGAAATGAGAGTACTGTTCCTCTAAATTGAAGAAACAAGTGTCTTCACTTGAGAGCCTAGGGAGGCTGGAACTGACAAAGTTATTGTGATCCTATTCCTTCTCAATGCCTAAAGCACTCTTGAGTAATAAGCCGGAGCATTCAGGGAGACGCATCGACTCTGTGAGGCCACCAGGGTGTCATTTAGAACCTCTCTGCTGGAACAATGGAATCATATAAATTTCAACCCACATTCTCTAGTTGCCATGGTAACTTGATGCACTTGCTTTGAAGTGTCTTTTGTGTCTTCCCTTCTTTTTCTTTCTTTTATTTTTTTAAAAATTTTAATCGTGATTTTTACTTTGCCAGTAATTTCCTGAATGCATTTCTGGCGGCTTCCTGCCTTCCTGTCGACCAGTTAAATCTCTGAATATGTTGCTCGGGAGTGATTTACACCTAAAAATGGTAACTGAACGTGTGTTCACACAAGCATACTGAAAGTCAGACTCTCTGTCTGTCTCTGTCTCTGTCTCTCTCTCACACACACACACATTCTTATGCATGCACATGCGTGAGTGTGCATGCAAATGCCATGTACCACCACATGCTCACATGGAGGTAGATACTTATGTTTGAAAACAGGTACATTTCTAAAGCTTTTTAATGCATTTTAACATAGTGTTACTGTGTTTTAAATAAAAATTATAGAGTAAGTGCCTAAATTCTGCAATTAATTGATTAGTATTTTCTTATCAATTGCAATATGGAGTCTGAAACACATAATTCTCACTGCATTCTCTTTCCTCACCTGATCACTTTAAACATACTTAGATTGTGAAGAGAATTGCGTAGAACAGAAGGCTGACTTTGGTTTGCGTTCAGACTCTATCCCTCTTAACTATGTGACCTTGGGCAAGTTAATCACTCCGAGCCTCATGTATTTGTGAAGGATAAATTAAGGTAATATATGTAGATTACTTAGAAGAAGCAGGTCCTCCAGTATGTCCCAGGAACTTATATAAAGAAACATACAAAACTAACAAAATATATTAAAATAAAATTGATTTCCATCCCACTCATTAGATGCATAGATATTTTCTTCATTACCATGTCCATTCCCCGTCACAAAGGTGAAGAAAATCTGAGAATATGAATAGAATTGTACATAGTCTCTTTGTCTGGATGCAAAGAGTGTAAAGAACTGACTGTGAAGAAGGCATTTCCTGGAAGACTCCAAAGAAGATGACCTCTCGTTACACTCAGTCAGGACCCTTTATCTGGGACCACGCCTGGTTTAAAACATCAGGTTAATAGCAAGGACATTTAGAAGTTGTTCTGTCTCCTGGAAAACAATATTCTCCACCACAACAATTTCCCCTTTCATGTAGGAAGTTGCTGCTGTGCAAGTACATTCTAATTACAAAAATGTGTTTAAGGAGCAACAGGGGTGCCAGAATACAGCATTAGACATGTAGGCAAAGGGTGAGGACCCACTTATGAGTGCTACTATTATTGTGCATTTGTGTGCTGTGTTGACAGGGAAAAAATAATGAGACAGAAACAAAATTAAATTTTAAAAGGGAATTGTAATTTTATGATATGACACCTCCTCTCTGAAAGTATTGGTTCTTTCAAAGAGGAAGTTACAGAAAATTCAACAAAGAGGAAAAAGATCACAAAGAAAAGTCCTAAAGGAGTAATTTCTAAGTTATAATAGTTTAAAATATATTTTCAAATAACAAGAAAAATAAACACAAAAGAAGATAATTATTTTTCTTTAGTGCCACTAAAATGGAAGTGCTAGGCACATTAAAATTGTTGGATAATGTTCAATAACTTCATATTATTGAATAATAGTATCAAATAATAAACATTGATAGGTTTATTACTGACATAATATTTTCTTGAATAATGGAAGAATAATTTATGTGGTTATAATTCAGAAAGAAGATCTGAATTTCAGATCTGTTCTGGAATTTGGTTAAACCAGCATACAATTCTGGTCCTGCCTGCCTTTTGGTAACTGAATAATTTTGGACATGTTAAGTGACTAGGCCTCGATAAGCCTTAGTTTCTTTATCTAAGTAGAGAAACTATATTCCAATTAAAATTCTGCTATCAAACTTGGTAAAAGCTTGGACAAGTCTCTTTGTTCCCATGGATTTTCTAAAGTGAAGGAGTTGGTCTCCAGGTGGCAATGTCCATGAATGTATTTGTACTACTCTGCCATAAAGGATAAACAAGTCATTTGTAGGAAAATGGATGTACTTTGAGACAATAATGTTAAGTGAAGGATATCAGACAAACAAGTTTAAATGTCACATGATTTCTAGTATATGAAAAACCCAACATATAATAAATTATAGGGCAAAATAAAAAAAATAGAAAATAGGGAGATAGAGCTTTCATAAATGGGAAGGGGAACAAAAGATTCAGGGGGCAAGGAATGGGAGTGAATACAAAAAGAATTAAGATGTACCATGTACAGGTACCAACTGCTCCCAGTAAATGTAGTCATTATATAACACAAACATGTGCTAACAAGATAAAAGAAGAAAGAAAAAAAAAATCCCTATATTCCAAGAAAAAAGAAGGGTAGTTCTCTCTCAATCATGTCAAAGACCTTGATGTATTTTAACAACCCCTTGAGCACTCTAATCTCCCAGCTTGTTACTGTTATTTGAACATAAAAATTAACTTTTATTTAAAATGAATGACTTATTTAATTTAAAATACACTTTGTAGTTTCTGTGCTCACCACTGAATCATGTACTGTACTTAGGTATTTCTATGTTTATTCTCCTTGCTGAAGTACCTCCTTCAATAATTATTTTTTGTAAAAGCTGTGCTTGTTAAATTATCATAATATTTGTATGCCTATCCTCTCTCTTTTGCAAGAGAAAAGGTAGCTGGCCCATATAAACTTTTAGAGCAGCAGTTATTTTTCCTTGGCACTGTGAATCTGTACTCTGTTACCTTTTGGACTATGTTATTGCTGAGGAAAATCTGCCTGTTTTGTGTATTTTTTTCTTTTGCAAGTCTTAGGGTTTCCTCTCTCTCGGATGATTTTTTAATTTTACTGCCAGGTATCTGAGGGCATATATAGTAGTATTTACTTATGTCAATTCTTATAAAACTTTCTGCATCAGAAGACCAATATTTCTTTCAGTTGGCAAAATTTTCAGCTCTACTTACTCAAATATTCCTTCTCCATTATTCTCTCCATCTTCCTACTATTGTCTCTAAAAGACAAAGGCTGGATCCTCTCATCTTGTCCTTCCTGTCTTTCTTTATAGTATACTTTCACAGTTTTTATCTCAGTTATGTTCGGAGGGGATTCCTGTGTAATCCTCCCCATGTTTTATATGTATTTAGTCTATGGTTTACAACATTTATTGACTTTTGTATATTTGTCTCAGTAACTATATTCCACTTTCAAGGAGAGCTCTATTTACTACCATGATTTATTTTTTGGCCTTTGAACTCAAAATTATATCTTTTTTCTTTACCTTGAACACTTTATGTTTATTATTAAAAATTTCTACACTCTTCTGTATATCTACATTGGAGATATTCACATCCTGGTTACTGATTTTGTTTGTAACTTTTAGTATAATATTTTTTGAAGTGGTCTGGATTTTTTAATATATGAAGTCTCATTCTAGAAGCTACTTATTTAGAAATGATTAAAAGCAAAGTTACAAAAATAGTGAGAAATTATAAGTAAAATTTTTACCCAGGTTTCCAAAAGTTAGCATTATAGTACATTGGAGTTGTCACTTTTTTGTGCATATGTGAATCAAAAGATATGGGTAGATATTCTGGCCTTCTGGCTTTAAGTACTTCAACGTGAGTTTCTAAAACCAAGGCTATTCTTTTACATAACCAACATAGAATTTTCAAAATAAGGAAACTGATGTTTTCATAAGTATTCCACAGATCTTACTCTAAGTCCATTCATTGTTCCACTAAATATCGTACCAGCAAAAAGAGAAATAAATCTTTTCTGGTCTTGAACCACACATTACTTTAGTTTTCTTGTTCTTTTTTCTTTTAGAATATGTTTCAACATCCTTTGTTTTTCAAGACTGTGACTTTTCTTTTTTAAGACATTTAGTTTTATAAAAGAGCCATTTTTTATTTTAAAGAGAATAAAAAATAATAAATTAGAAATAGTACCAAATTTTACTAAACAAGATGATAGAAATTCAGCAATGATTGATATACTGATATTGTTGTCTTCAAATTAGAAATAAATCATACCCACATGTGTAAATATCATATTGTCTCCCTAGTGTAAGAACCTGAAAGAGTACATAAAATCTGAAAGGTACAATAGATACTGTGAAAGGGGAAGAAACTGCTCAAAGGGAAGGAACAACTGGGATGAGGGAAAGGAGAAAAGAAAGAGAAGGAAGGAAAAAATATATATGTATATACACTGGATACCTGGGATAATTGTACTGCTTATTTCTACTGGTTTATTGAAAGGAGCAGTTAATGCTTAATTTTTTTTTTCTTCTTTTTAATTTTTTTTTACCAATTGTGCATGCTTATATATGGTAGCCTTCAATTTTTTATCCTGATATTTCCTTATGATGAAATTCAGTTGATGTAGTTTTAGTAGAAATACTACAAAAGGGATATGTAGTACATAATTTAAGAAATATCTGATTGTCCAATTACTATGCTATAGTTCTTTAGTTGAGGTGACTTCAGATTACCCCTGTAAAGTTACCACTTTCTTTTAGTAATTAGTAAGAAGTTCATAGGCGATACTTTTAATTTAGGTAAATATTCTGTGTTTCACTGACTAATTTTAGCATTCACTGATGATTTTTGCTCAAAGAAATCACTACTATAATAGTTTCCAGTTGGTAATTTTCTGATTCCTTCATTTCTCCTTTACTTTTAGTTGGCATTCTCTTATAAAGAAGAACCATCCCTTCTCTCCCAATACTTAGCATTCTTTATGTTTAACTTTTTCCTCATATTTTGACTTTCTTTTTTGTATTGGCAAGGCCAGAGTAGACATCCAAATTATGGTGCTTTCGCATGCTGAGTATTTGAATGGAAAGAGATTGGAAGTGCCTTAGAAACAAGATTTCTTTGGCCTTTTCCTGCTTTCCTTTTTCTTGCCTTTTGTCCTCAAGATGGGTCATAGAAACTAGAACTCTTATCCCCTAAAGCAA